AACCACATGTGGCGCAAATAATTATAGGATGAAATAATCGTTGGTTTTTATCGTCGTATGATTTTCCAAACATTTTTTTCCTTTTTAGTCATCTCCTGGTTCGTATCGCCTCTTCTTAGTGGTTTCGTGTCAACCTTCATTTTCTTCATTGTGAAGAAACTAGTTTTAACAAAAGTATGCATATTTGTCGACTCTTATCAAGGGAATCTTTTTCTTTCAGCACCTTATCTTAAATGCTACTTTATTAACCAAAAAACTCATAAGAAATCCTGCATACATTTGCTTTAGGATAATGCACATTCGAGTACTTTTTCTGACCTCTTATTTGCATAAATGTATTTCTTGCAAATCTATGCTATTTGACACCACATAATGCGCTTTTTACGAGGAAAACGTTGTCGACAAATCGTTTTGACAGGGTATTTGGTCTGGATGTCTCGCCTACCTTTGTCATGGTGCACTGGTTACTCTATAGAATGCCCTCTTATGATCATGCGACGATGTCGTGTTCTCCATTCCATTTTTACTGTTTATGACCTTTAGGAGCATCCTCTTGAACCAGGTCTCAACGTTCTGCCATTCTTTTACGGTGCCACCGTGCTAATCAACATCTTTTCTGTTCTCTATGGCGGACTGAGTAGTAAGTTATCCATTGAGGTGTTTAGACAGACTCAGAGTCAGGGATGAGCCCTAAAATCTGTAAGCAACCAATTTCCTTCCTCTTTTTAGTCTTCGGAATCAGCGAAATCAAATTGTGGATTGTTCTGGTGGCCAGTTTTGGAGCTGGTATTCTAACGGGTCTTATCGTTTTCTTCTTTGTAAGGCCTTATCTTCGTAGAAAGATCTTGCGTAAGTTGAATCGCCATTGACATCATCACCATCGTCATCTTCATACCACTTTCATGCGAATATGCATTGCTTGTTGCATGCGAAAATAAAATGATGCCACAAGGTCGCTCTTAAATTGAGTATACTACAGAGAATCCAGTGATGTGTATGTCATTATTCATTCATCTCGGCTCAAAAGTTTGATTACTTTGATTGCTTCTCAGTTCCCCGAGCCTAGTCTGATTGTGTTTGCCACTTGTAGATCGTTTGAGTAAGATGGAGGATTCTAAGGAGGGGACTAACGCCAACTTAAAGGAGACAGCTGGACAAAAGTTCAGACGACATATGCTTGGAATCCTTTTGAAACTGAAGCATCCCAGGCAGTCGTCGAGGTGTGGAGAATCCTCTCCGGACTTTGTCTGCCAACGAGAATCCCCCTCTATCGATATCCCACCTGTTCAAGGTAGTTTGCTCCACTTTCAATCACTTCAATTTTGCTCTCATCCACCCTCTAATCTGGTTAACTTATTTGCGCTTTTGCCTATGCTACTGTTTACCAAAAGAGCATTTTGACGTGCTAACTTAACCAGATTTTACCTCAAAGTAGAAGACATCCACCGATTCAGTGGAGTTGAACAGGTTGTAGGCGGACGCTTAAGTGTCGTAAATTTTGCTGGTTTGTCCTGGTTTTGATGCAGCACTTTACGTTGACTCCATAAACTTGACGGAGGTCAAAATGCATGCTATTGTTTACTTTTATGCATTCTAAGTCATTGATAGGTGTCAGGCCATCGATACGGCCTCGAATATTTCCATCCCACCTCTAACTTTTATTAGTCATGGGAAAATTTTGCAAGTTCATGAAGCTTCTCTTCAGGTCCTTGTTGTGTTGTTTGGAAACGCAGTAACAAAGCACTTAGTTTTGGCGCTAAATGGCGACAAAGTGGCCGCATCGTCTTCTGAAGAATGGGACGTTTGTGGATAAGTAGACAATGCATTCCACGCGTTGTAAATTCATTTTTACCGGCCGACGGGCCGACTTAACGTGAGCATTGACTTCGTAGTCCTTCATGATACCACTTTATTTCATATGGCTTTCACTTTTTTCCCACGCGAAATAGATGGTTGATGTAGAAATTGAGACGCTCAGGGCTGACCGCATTGCTTCCGACGAGTGGTCAGCCTATGGGTACAAAGTTCATCCACCACCTTGACTTGACAACCGCCTCTCGCCTAACCCATCCGATCCTGATTTGAGTGAATGCTCGCCTCCTTTATGTCTCACTTTAATAGCCTTTTAACCGCACTTGCAAAAGCTATCCTCTCAACCTATTTGATTCCATTGTTTGTATGATTTACTTTGTAGGTTGAGGCGTAAACACAGTGGTGGCTTAGTGGCCACAATTCATGCAGGATTGTGATGAAATGCACTGTTGCAGTTCTTGCTCACGGTGCTGCATATGGGCGGCATCGCCGCCATCAAAAATACTAGCCTCTCTCTACCTTCCGCCAAACATGCCGTATGATCTCACTCTCTTTTATTCCGAGGCCCGAAGGCCACAGATTTTGCATCCACAGTCTAGTCTTGTGTGCTGTAACCTTACGTCAATGCCCTACATTGTTGCGACTAGAATCGCATCTGAGTTTTTTATTTCCTTGCCCTCCTTGTGCTTCATGTGGGGAGAGGCGACGAAGTGAGGTGTGGAAAGGCGGGAAAGCACAATCGCGTGATCCACTCATTCCTAGACCCCTTAAGTTGGAGAATTTAGTAAATAGACTTGTGATTTTGTGTGTCAACCAGCAAACATTTTACATTTTACATGTTTTAACACGCATTTCCCCTTTTGTCTGTTGATGTCTGTCAGACACCGAAGTCGCGTACTTGTTCTGGCTTAACCTAGGTGTGATGATAGGTGATGAAGGCTCAGGGTAAGCGGCTTTTCACCCACCTACCCATACCAAGCAGCAACAATTGAGAAAGTTGACATTTTTTTGTTGTCTACTTCATGTCCACTAATGAGCTTCTACCGTTGTACTATTTTATTTCAGTGGAATCTCTTACACTTGGACCAAATGTTAAAACGTCTGCCCCACCGGAGACGCTTATCACGGACCTTCCGTCCACAAATCAAGGTAGAGTATAAGAACCATCTCCTTTTAATAAATTATCTCATTTTCCACTTGATATGATTTTTAAAAAGCTAAGAAATGCGAATTAAGGGGTTGATGGCGGCATGACCTGCCTAATGCAAATCTGGATTGCCTCAATCCAGCCTAGCAACTCTGCCAACAGTGCACACACAAAAGCCCCGCACAAATCCGTTCCATGGGTTGCCTATTCTATCCAATGCAATGCACACAACTGACATTGTCTACCTTAGCTTAAGTAGGAAAAATATTGCATCTCAACCGTTGCTGCATAAAATACCAGCGTGCATACACACTCATGCCCGGGAAGCATGGCAGTTAACCCTTTAGAGGGATGTTAGACAGCATCCTGCACCTCCTTCGCCATCCGCCGATGTCGTCTCCTTCTTTAAGGGGAGTAGAACTGTGTGTAGTGTACCAAATTTTTTTTTTGTGCAGAAGCCATGTTGCTGAAGTTACTAATCTTGATCTTTAGATCAACACCATGAGGGCGGTGAAACTAATATCCCAGGTCCCGGTGAAGATGATGATGACAGCAGTATAACTGAAGTGAGCGGAAAGTTTTTTGCTCCTCGAGTTCCACCTTTACCTTTTGAAGCAGCTATGGGAAGGTGATTGCTCCTACTTCACCTTACAGCTCTCCAGTTATTTTACAAAGTGATTTTTTTTCAGGGCAGTCAATCTTTTTGCTAAATAGCTATTTCTGTGCCTCCCACAAGTATCTCACGAAAATCCACCAATTTCCTCGATTTTATGGTAGCCTTAGAATCCATTTTGGCATGCAAAGAGTCATGCCAGCTTAGTCACTTCTCTGCTGTCGTGCCAGTGCTCGCTGACCTGTCTACTTCTTAGTGAAAATTTAATTGAAAACAGTTTTTTTTTGCATTTACGTGTTTGTATTTCTTTTCCGCCCCAAACATGCATTCGTATTCCCATTGCTTGACATCATGATTTCTGTCTGCCTTACCTCTCGTTCATTTACCGAATCGGTCA